TGTTGACCTCTCGCCACCGGCGCACCGAGAGATCGAGCTCGCCCAAGCTGCAGTCGACGCTATCGGCGACTCTCCCGAGACTGCGCTTGCCGGCTTTGTTCTCCCGGACCTGCTGTATGGCTTTGGTAGTCTCGGCCTGGGCATTGTGGTGCGGCGGAGCAACGCTAGCGTCGCCGATCCGTGGCAGATTCATGTCGAGACGGTGACGAGCGCGTGGGTCGAGACCAGCCGAGTCATGTGCGGCCTTCGCACAGGTTCGCCGCTGTGTATCGATTGGTACCCGGGTGGCGCAGAAGGGCGTCGCAACTCACTGAGCTCGTCTGATGACGACAGCGACGTCGACGATGCTGGAGAGAGCCGCAGCAAGACCAGCCGGCCGGTGGTTCGAGTCAGGCCGGTGGCGGCTGTCGAGGACGTGCTGGTGGTGATGCGGCCGGGCCATGCCGCGGCACCGGTGCTGGAAGCATACGCCAAGTCTGCGCTCCACACTGCGTACCTCGGCGTGGTCTTTTGCCGCAATCCGGTGCTGGCGCTGCCGGCGCAGCGGACGGCGCTACTGACGGTGGCACTCGTCCAGGCCGTCAACCAGCTGCTTGATCCGGCGTGCTGCGAGCCTGGCTTTGTGGCTGTGGTGTGGACGCTGCTGACCTCGTTGCGGGCGCGGATGGGGATTAACGGCGCATCGCCCGAGCAGTTCTGGAACGGAGTGATCTACAAGCTCATGGAGCCACATCCGGAGCGGCGACTGACCGAGGCTCCCGAGGACGATGTGTCATCGGTGGCCAAGGTGCTAGGCCCGCTGATGGTGTGCCACGAGGCTGTGGATGAGGTTGGTCTCTTTGAACTCGCTGCAGCGCCGCAGCTGTCTGCTGTGGCGCTGGCCCTGCTGGCTGAGTCGATCTCGCGGTCGTCGCGCGTCTACCTCAAGTGCCGTCTTGCAAGACGCGGCGTGGCCAACCACGCGGCTGCAATGCGCGACGAGGCCCAAGCGGTCCTGGCCCGGGCGCTCGGCATTAGCCCTGAGTCAGTGCCGGCGATCTCGCCGAGCGATGAGGTCATCGACCCGCCGGCGTCGGCCTTGACCTTTGGCAGCGAAGCCGACATCGACCGCGCGCTGCGGGCGTCGAGCAAGCTCTTCCGCAAGCCGGGGTGGACCAATGTACCGCCGACGGCCGTGCTGGCCTGCCTGCAGATGGCACGGGTCGTCCAGGGCTTTGGCCGCGAGCTTGCGCAGCCGACCGCTGACCCGCCACCGGCCTTTGTGACAGCCGTATGCAGCACGTTTCGTGGGCTTTCGATGGGCGCGTTCCTCACCCAATTTGTGGAGCCCGGTGCTGGGCGCGAGCTCGACCGGCGGGCGCTGCAGGCTGCGCTCTATGTCCAGGGCATCGAGTTCCACTCATCCAAGCTCCGCCGCGGTGGCGAGATTGGCGAGCTGCTTGAACCGCATGCATTGGTGGCCAGCGCGGCGGCGCGGGCGCGCAAGACCATGTATGCTGCGGCGCGGAGTGTCAAGCTTGCCCGACTGGCCCGAACCCGCAAGCTCAACGCGCGCGAGCTCCGGAGGCAGGAGAAGCTCGCTGCGCTCGCTGAGTTTTACACAGCCCATGCCGGTGTACCGAAGCTCTTCAGCGAGGCCGAGGTGGCCGCCATGAACCGTGCAGCACCCAGTGCCGTTGATGCCGTCGTCCGCGAGCCATCGGGCCTTCTCCGCCACCGATGCTGCTTCGAGGCCTGCCCACGCTTTTTAGAGTACCTGGGAACCCAGGCAGATCGGCTGCACGGCACCCGCAAGGGCCTCTTCACCCATCTTGCCCCGATCACCCAGCGTTCTTGCAAGGTTCCGTACTTCCCAGGCTGGCATTTGATGGCCATCATGCTCTGGCGCAAGACCCGATCGGCCCACAATGGCCGCCAGACCTTTATCACCCGTCTTGTCAACCACTACCGCGACCGCACAAGCTCGTCAGCTGTCGTCGCCTCGCTTGCGGAAGCAACCTGGCTCTCGATCGAGGCCATGGTCGCCGCTGATTGATCGGCAAATACTGGCGCGCGTCCAGCGCTCTTGCCCCCACTCACCCCACCGTGCCTCGTAGGATACCAACCCCCCCCCCCCCCCCCCCCCCACTGACGCAAAGACAAAAGCCAAACACCGCCGACCAATTTTTCTCGCCATTTACTGCACCCAAACCCACCCCCCCCTCCTGGGCTACGCGACGTCCACGTCCACGACCCACCCAGCCACCCCACCACCCACTTACGCACCCACACATCACCACCACCACCACCACCACCGCCGCCGCCGCTGCCACACGCACACGGCAGGACCATACACCTCACCATAGAGTGACGCATACTCGCACACACATACGCACACATACGCACACGCACACACACACACACACACACACACACACACACACACACACACACACACACACACACACACACACAGCATGGGCATGCTCTACAAGGCCGCCGGCCTCTGTCTGTGGAGCCTCATCTGGATCGAGGCCATCGTCATGGCGATAGTCACCTTTACCATTGTCTCGCCGCTCTCGTGGCTCCTCGGGGGGCGGATCGGGCATGCGCGGACGCTCAATGCCATGGTGGACCGGCTGATCTGGTACCACATGGTGTGGATGCTCGAGGTGTGGGGCGGCTCGCGGATCGAGTTCTACGGCGACGAGCTCCCACTCCGCGAGTCTGCGCTGCTCATCTCAAACCACATCTTCCTCGCTGACTTTTGGCCATTCTTCTCGCTCGCGCTCCGCAAGGGCCGCCTCGGGTGCATCAAGATCTTCTCCAAGAACAACGTCAAGTACCTGCCGGGCTTTGGCTGGGGTGCGTGGCTCATGGGCTTTGTCTTCATTCGCCGCAACTGGACTCAGGATGCGGACCTCATCCGCAACACTTTTGCCAACCTCAAGGCCACCGGCTTGCCCATCTGGCTCCTCTCGCACCCCGAGTCGACCCGGATCACCCCGCGCAAGTACGCCGAGTCGGTCGCCTACCAGAAGCAGAACTCACACCTGCCGGCACTCAAGCACCTGCTCCTCCCGCGGACCCGCGGCTTTATCGCCACTGTCGACGCCCTCCGCGACTCGCTCCTCGATTCCGTCTACGACCTCACCGTCGACTACCCCGAGGGTTTCCCAGGCATGTTCAACACCGCCGCCGGCAACGGCCCGCGCATTGTCATCCACATCAAGCGCTACCCCATTGAGGAGCTGCCGCGCGATGCCGATGAGCTCAAGGCATGGTGCCTCGAGCGCTGGGTCGAGAAGGACGCCCTGCTCGAGACCTTCCGCACCACCGATGCTTTTCCGGATCCCATCCCCGAGCCGTTCGCGCGTCTCCCAATGAACCTCTAGCCCTGTCTCGCTTTCACGACGAGCCTTACCCCCGACGATCGCTTTGCGCAGCCGGCCACGGGTGTGTGCTATGATGCTCGACTTAGGGCGCACGACTATGCGCCGAGACGACCGTGCTAATGACTCGCCGAGCCGAGCGAACGCGCGCTCGACGTTGCGGCGCTGTGGTGGAAGACCACGGTATCGGGGCAATCGTGAAGCCGCTCGCGCGAGTTGTGGATGACCAGCTGCTCGCGAGCCATAGCACCGCCCAGGAGGCCCGGCGTCGAGTCGCCGTCGGTTTGTGACGGGGGCGCCGCGGTGGCAGCGGCCTGGCCAACATGCCTGTTCCGGCCCGACGGCGGGTACTCTGTGGCGAGGATGACCCGGTGGTGCTCGGGCGGGGCGGGGTCGTAAGCGTACGCCGACCGCCGCGCCTTGTCTGGCCAGAACGAAAAGGCGACGGCGGCGGTGTGGTGGACAAGGGCAAGGGTGCGCGCGACAACGGCGGTGAGGCGAAAGTACTTGTCGAGCTCGCGCACAATGTCAAAGGCCTCCGGAAAGAACGTCCGCCGGATGTACATGTACAGCACGTCTGGCAGGAGCGCTGAGAGCGGTGCAAGAACGAGAATGAACCAAAAGGCTGGCGAGGTGTATGCCTGCGGCCCCACACCGAGCATGTCCAGCGCGTCGGTCGGCGGCACAATGAACGAGTACACCGTGATCCATAGAAAGAGGCCAGCGACAGAGAGAAAGATGGCGGCAAAGTTGAGGATGGTCCACGAGCTGGTCTCGAGCGCTATCTTGGAGTTGACCGTGACCACCACCACAGAGTAAATGAAAATACCGTTGACAAAGAGGCCCGATGTCTGCCCGTCGCTGTGGAGCACGTTGTGCGCGAGCATGCCCTGCACGAAAAAGTAGAACATGAGCGAGTGGTACAACGACGAGAGCATCCACCCGAGGAAAACTCGCAAGTTGAAGAACCGATTAGCAGGCCCAGTCCGATATAACTCCGGGTGGGCCAGCAGTCGTCGGCGCGGGACAGACTGGTCGAAAATGCCCACAATGAGGATGGGCAGCGCGGTGAAGATGACGTTGTACAGCGAGAACGTCCACTTTTCCACAAACGTCTGGCCCGAGTAGCCCGAGGCAAAGACAAACCAGAACGGAACAAGTGAGAGCGCAATGTTCTTGTAGAACGAGTACATGATGAGCTTGGCAATGCGGTCATAGCACCAAAAGCCGTGGACAAGCAGCAGCTGCCGAAGGAACCGGAACTGCGCAATAGCGTAGTCGGCCGTCATGGCCGCCTGCTGGCCCTCCTCGCCGGAAATGCCCACCCCAAGGTGCGCCTCCTTGATCATCTCCACGTCGTTGGCGCCGTCGCCAATGGCGAGCGTCACCACACCCTGGTCGAGCGCCGACTGCACAAACGCCACAACCTGTGCCTTTTGCGCCGGCGAGACACGGCACCCGATGACCGACTTGCAACGCTTGGTCACAGACAGCAGAAGCTCCTTGAGCTCGGCGTCAATGTTGCTGTCACCAGCGCCAGCGCTAGTGCCAGCGTTGGTGCTGCTCGCCGATCCGTCGCCGCTTACCTCGCGCGGTGCCTCGAGGAGGAACGAGAGCGTCCTTCATCCAGCACGCACGCGTGCTCAACAGGCTCGATCTGTGCCTCCATCGAGCGCAGAATGCGCTGCAGCGAGATGCGGAGCCACTGCTTCCGCTGCGCCACCGACACCGGATCCCGCCCAGAGAGAAGCATCTCGTCGCGGTCGTCATCGTTCTCCTCAACATTCGGGTCGGTCGGCGACGGAATGACCACTTCCATGTTGGCGTCGAGGAGCGAGCACGAGTACCCGATCATGATTGCCGTCTCTTGCTTGTCGCCGGTGAGGACCCAGACGTGGATGCCAGCCTTGCGGAGCGAAGCAATGGCCTCGGGCACTCCGTCCTGCAGCTTGTCCTCAATGGCAGTGGCGCCGAGCAGCTCCAGATCGCGCTCCACGAGCTCAGCTGCCGCCACAGCGGCTCGCTTCCGCTCAAGCGGCGTTCCCCGCTCCGACTTGGCGTACGCCGTGGCAAATGTCGCCAGCTCGGCCTCGGTCATCACCCGCTCGGCCATGACCAGCGTCCGCAGCGCCTCGTGGGCAAATACGTTGAGGTGCATATCGGTCGGACGCAAGAGCTTGCGGTTGATTTCCAGCTCGGCGTCGAGCAGCGGGAGCATCGCCACGTCTGCTCCCTTGACCATGACCTTGACCTGTCCGTCGGGGAGGCGGACGACGACAGACATGCGCTTGCGTGCCGACGAGAACTCGTTGACGTACAACACGTCAAAGACCTGGTCGTGGCCTAGGACTTCGAGCGTGATGCTCGTCGGCGTCCGCGTGTGGAACTCAAAGCCAAAGTACTTGGCTGCGTTGACCAGCGCGCCCTCGTCGGGCGATGCTGCCTGGTACAGGATCGACTCTGTCCCATCCTTGTCCTCTACCACTTCGGGAATGACTGTGTGGCAGACGGCGAGGAGCGTGAAAAACCGCAAGAGCGTCTCGCGCTTGGTCGGATCTCCTAAATCACGCATCACCCGCCCGTCGTCCTCAAAGCAGCAGTGCGGGACCGTCTCCCCTCGCGCCAGCGGAATCGACGCCAAAGACTCCCGCATCACAGGCGCCGCAAGTGTGATTGACGGCACGCCTTCGGCCATCGCTCCTGCGTGCGCTTTCGGACGCATGCCTCCCTTGGTAGCCGGCGACCCATCCGAGTACTCGTACTCGTACGTGACCGAGTAAGTGTACTCGTATGACGACGATGACAATGACGACGATTCACCGCTAGCGGCCTTGGACTTGGACTTGGACTTGGCCTTGGACTTGGCCTTGGACTTGGACTTGGACTTGCCACCCTCCTCCTGTTCCTCCTGTTCATGCCCGCCGACTCCGGCAGCGTCGCTGACCGCTGCCGACGACGACGGCAGGACTGTGGACGCCCCGAGGTTTTCCAAGACGTCAGACGAGATCTCGTGGGAAAAATCTGCAGTGTTGGCGCGGCGGAGTTTGGATTCGAGCTCGTTGACCTTGTTCGACGCGTACGACCGCGGTGTGTGGACCATGATCGAGAGCGTGCCGTCACCGTAAGCAATGCCGCCGACCGTCATCTTCTTAAAGTCCATCGAGTTGCGGGTCAGCGTTCCAGTCTTGTCAGAGAAGATGTACTTGACCTGACCGAGCTCCTCGTTGAGATTCGACGTTCTCGCAATGGCTGGTGCGTCGAGCTCGGCGTGGTACATGTGGATGTCCCAGTTGATGAAAATCGACTGGCCAAACTTGACCGTTTCCATCGAGACGTAGAGCGAGATGGGAATGAGGTTGGAGAAGAGGATGAGAAAGGTAAGGAACGAGAGCGCACCCGACGACGATGCCGAGAGGCCCTGCGCCTGCAAATACGTGTGGCTTCCCGAGTGCTTGGCCAGCCACATACCATTGCCGAGAGCACAAATGAAGCAGAGCAGAAGCTGGGCAAGAAAAATGAGGATGATGAGGGTGTTGGTGAACTTCTCGACCGACGACCGCTTGGTCGGGACCTTGTTGGACGACTTTGCGATCTTAGTGTCCTTGCCAGTGTAGACCGCAAGTCCAAAGACCCACTTGGTGTTTCGTAGCTGTGCACCGCGAAGGAGAACCTGCTTCATCGACAGCTGCGCGGTGCCATTGCTCGGGTTACTCATAATGAGCGAGCCGTCAAAGCGGTACATGTCGGCGTTGGGCGGGTCGCATTCGAGCAGGCCGCGCAGCGCCGAGACACTTGCCGGCGTCACGGCGTGGACTGACGACTCGGGTGCTTTGCGGATCTTGAGGTTCGACTCACCGTCGAGGTTCGACGTCTCAACGTAGCACATGCCCTGCGGCTCAGACGAAGAGAGGACGAGAAGGTCCGCCGGCAGAAACTCGCCGTTGCGAACATGCAGAACATCCCCGACGCGGACATCGCGCCAGCGGACAGTCACCAGCTCGCCATCAAGCACCACCGAGACCGGGGTCGCGTTGACCGCCCGGTCATTGCGGTGGCGGCGGATGTCTTCCAGTGCCTCCTTGAGAGCGGTAAAAGCGAGGACGACAGCTAGGGTCATGGCCGTCGTCCCGCGGCCGAGCGGCGAGATGCCGGGGATTTGCTGGAGGCAGGCAATGAGCAGAAAGTAGATGTTGGCCACACGATGGAACTGGGCATACAAGTTGCGCGGCAAAAAGGTGAGGATGGTGTACTTTGAGGTCACCACCACGTTGTCTGCAAAGCCCTCGGCGCTGTTGGCCTCCGTGTCATTGAGCCGCACCCGCCGCCTCGGGACTGCCCCGACTTTGGACGACCCACACAGCGGCATGCCTTCCAGCAAAGAGTGCAAGGGAGTGCAAGGAAGGGAGGGGGGGGATGGAGGGGGGGAGGGGGGCTGAGAGGTAGTGGTGCTTGGGGGTGTTGGGGGGTGGTTGGTTTGGGGGGGGAGGTGGAGTGGCTACTATGTTTGGTGAGATCATGACCGTAGCGGCGGGAAAGGGGGTGGCAACAATAACGGATCGAACGCGCGCGTGCCGAGAAAAATTTGCAGACACAAAGTAAAGTGCAAGTTACGGAGTTAATTCATGAGGCAGATGGTGGAAGCCTTGTGGGGTCAAAGTCTGCAAAGCGGTCTGCAAACTCGCTAGCAGCTGCTGCGATGGCAGCGGGTGGCGTGGGTGCGGGCGCTTCCAGGCCGTCGGCGGGAGGTCGAGCATGCCGGCGAGGATCTCGAGGCCGAACGAGCGTTGGAAGAGCGACTGATCCTCGACGGCGTGGGCCATAGCGGGGCTGGTGCCAAACTGGACAAAGATGTAAGGGAAGCCTTGCGGGACAGACTTTTGGAGGCCGCCGCGGGCGATGACGTCGATGACCCGCTCATGCGAGGTCCACATGGTATCGCACTCGCTCAGTGCCTTGCGGAAGAACATCGGCGCGAGTGCGCCATCGTCGCGCGAAAGCGGCACGGCGTCGATGGCTGTGTGGACGAGGGCATCCAACTGGAGAGCGACCTCCACAAAGACGACGTCGCGGCCGGCGGCGGCGTGGTATGCGGTGAGGGCGCGCATAAAGGCTTCGGCCTCGGCAAAAGCGGCGGCTTCGGTGTTGCGGAAGCTCACCTCGTGGTTCCGCGGCACGATGCGGACGTGACCGTCGACGAGCGGCGCGGCTGCTGCCGCCAAGTACATGTGATCGGCAGTGGCGATGACGGCGGCCTTGCGCATTTTTGCAGCGCCAAAGCATAGCGTGCATGCGCCGAGTGCGGCGTCGTGCTTGCGGGTGGCGTTGACCATGGCCTGCCGCGCCTTGCGGGCCTGCTTCTCTGACGACTGCGACGCCTTGCGCGACTCCCACATCCGCCACGCCTCGCCGGTCCCGTACTCGTCGTCCTCGTCGTCGCCACCCAGCGCCCCGCTATACCGCTTGCCCTGTGCCATGACATTCTCGATAAAGGCCGCATCGACGTCAGCCATGCCCTGAAGCTTGGCCGCCTCGCGCTCGCGGACAAGCAGCTGCTGCGGCGTCAGATCCTCGGCGCCTTCGTCGGCGCGGAGGAACCGGGTCCGCAGCCCAGCCGCATCATGGGTCACCAGCTTGCGCTTAAGCTTGTTCGGATTGTTCCGGTCGCCGCGAGCAGAGATATGGTCGGTGACTCCAAGCCGCGCCCCGCTGGCGCTTACGCTCACCAGCATCTTGGTCTGCGCCGGCGGCGCGAGCTCGGCCTCGAGCTGTGCAACAGTGGCAAAGTCCTTCTTCAGCTTGGCCCGCATAATTCGTGCCGCAATCTTGTTGCGCTCCGCCGCGGTGAGCGGCGGCCTAGGTGCGGGTGCGGTCGGCGCGGGCGTGGGAGCAGCTACGGGCGCGGGGGCGGCTGCGGGCGGGAGGGCAGCTGCAGGCGCCAGAGGTGCGGCAAGACTTCCGGGCCGCATCATGCCCGGCCGAGTCGCCTCGAGGTAGCGTGCACGTCCGGAGCTCGCACCGCTGCTGTCCGACTGCTGGTCACCGATTGACGCTGTGGTTGATGCTGTCGTGGTCCGATGGGCACGGACACGGTCTCGGAACGACGGCTTGCCACCCGGAGCTTCCGCTGCCGTTGCCGGCGGGCCCGTCGACAAGCTGCTACCGTTCATAAGAATGAGGCCGTACCGCTGCTGAGGCACCGGTGCCGCGGGAGCGCTGGGTGTCGCCGCAGGCTCGCCTGCCGCCGAGCTCGGCGGCAGCGTGGGATCGAGCATCCAGGATGCGCGCTGGACCTTGGTCTTGCCTGCGACTCCGTCCTCTGTCAGTGGACGGCTCCGCTTGTGCGAGCGAGTGTGCGACGTCGAGTCGGAGTAAGAGTTTGCCAAGCTTGCCGAGCTTGCCGAGCTTGCCGCGCGCGGCTCTCCTCCTCTGGAGCGCCTGCTGCTGCGATGTCTGCCAGAGCGCGAACGCTTGCCCGACCGCGATTTCCGAGTCGACGAGTCACCAGTTCGGCCCGACCGTGAGCGGTGCGAGCCTGACGAGCGATGCGAGCCCGATGAGCGGTGGCGGGACGAGCGATGCGAGCGGTGGCGGGACGAGCGGTGCGAGCGGTGGCGGGACGAGGAGTCCGACGGGCGGTCTTTGTGGCGAGAAGACTCCATGACGGTGAGAGGAGCTCAAGTCCGGGTGCAAAGCCGCTGTCTGTCGGCGAGGCGGTGGTGGTGAGGAGGGAAGGGTGCGGTGGTGGTCGGTGACGGTGGAGGCAGGCAGGCAGTACAAGACTGCCGACTGAGCTGAGATGGCGCGCCATGTCGCACTCGGGAGGCACCCGTCTGCGTGAGCCAAGCCTCGTCCGCTTCCACACCCACACCCACACCCACACCCACACCAACACATCACTCCCTCTCACACACCCTACACCCCACACCCCACACTCCACGCCTCACACCCGTACCTTAGTTCCCACAAACACCCGGTCCCCCCCCCCCTCCCCCCCCCTCCCCCACACACAGGCAGAGCCATGCCCAAGATCAGGACCAACAGGACGAGGCGGCCGCCGCAGGGCTTTGATGACATTGTACCGACGCTTGATCAGTTTGAAGAAGAGATGCGGAGGGCAGAGAATGATGACGGCGTAGGCAAGCGCAAAGTCCAGCTTACGTGGGAGGTGCTCAAGCTGCACCATGCCCGGACTCGATACGTGTACAACCTGTTCTATGTCCGCAAGGTCATCTCGCGCGAACTGTATCAGTGGCTGGTCGATGAGGGCTACGCCGATGCGCTGCTGATGGCAAAGTGGAAGAAGGCCGGGTATGAGAAGCTCTGCTGTCTGTCTTGCATCCAGACTCGTGACCACAACTTTGGCACCACGTGCATCTGCCGCGTCCCGCGTGCCCAGCTCGATTCGGACCGCATCGTCGAGTGCGCCCACTGCGGCTGCCGCGGCTGCGCCTCGGGCGACGTGCCGGGCAAAACCGCTTTAACAAC